GGCCGCTACGTGGCGACCTACGTCAACGCGACCAACCAGATGGAGAACGGCTTCAACATCTGGACCTTCAACGGCCGCCTCCTCTACCAGTGAGCGCCACACGGCACGCCCCCAGGGACCCATCCGCTCCTCCCCCAGGGCTGAACCCGGGGCGCCGCACCTGCCTCGGCCCCCGCCCTTGCCTTTCCCGCCCGCCACTGCCTCGTGCGGGCCAGAAAGCCAATGAGCCGTGCGCCACTTCGACGAGGCCGCAAGCTTACACCGCTCCCCCACTCACGCCTCCCTGCTGCCCTTCCTCTCCCCCCGCCCTCCAGCACCCCGCGCGACCGGTTCTTCCAGTTCTGCTGGCGGCCGCGCATGCCCAGCCTGCTGCCGCCCGACAAGGAGGCGGAGATCACCAAGAACCTCAAGGCCTACAGCAAGAGGTGCGCGCGTGTGTGTGTGTGTGTGCGCGTGTGTGTGTGTGTGTGTGAGAGTGTGTATTGCAAATGTTAATGCGTGCATGTTTGTGTTTGTGTCAGAGAGAGTGTGTGGGCGTGAGTGTCTTTGTGTTGTGTATGTGTGAGTGTGCGTGTGTGAGTGTGATTATGCATGTGTGTGTGATTATGTGTGTGTGTGTGTGTGTGTGTAGTGGCCAGGCAATGCTGCAGCATCGGAGCTGCTGCAGGATTGTGAGGGTTCAGGGGACACACATACACACACATACGCACACATATGAATCAAAGACACTCACGCACCGCCCCCCCCCCCTGCATCTCCCCTCCAAGGTACGACGAGGAGGACGAGGCCCTCCTCATGCAGGCCGACGCGGACGTGCTGCAGGAGCGCCAGCGCGCCTCAGACGAGTGGCGCGCCTGGGCCGAGGCCCGCGCGGCCTACGCCGCCGCGCAGGCCGCGTTCCGGCGGGAGGTGTGCGGGGCGGCGGCGGAGGAGCCCGAGTTTGTGGTCAAGAGCGTCACGGTGGAGCAGATCATGGACGTGCGGGAGGAGCCCTACAACGCCAGCCACTGAGGGGGCGGAGGACGGGGCGGCCTGGAGGGGTTGGCCCTGCGCGGCGCGCGGCCGCGGCTCGTTCGCGGGCGTGACGTGGCGTGCGCGGGCAGGGGGAGCAGGAGGAGGAGGAGGCGGAGGAGGTGGAGGAGGGGCAGCAGCAGCAGCAGCGGCGCGCGGGTTGCGGCGGGGCGCGGCGTCGGAGGGCTGGGACGAGGCCGCGTGGGGCCATGCAGCCATCTCGCCCCGTCCCGCCCCGCCCGCCCGCGCGCCTTTCTTTTTCTTGTCAAGCAGGACATGCAGTGGTTCGATTTTCAGCGTCACAATTGCGGTCGCGTATGGCACACCTTATCCGGTGGGGCCGGTGGGGACGGGGCTGCGCCCGTGCTGTCAGCCGCGCAGCTTGTCTCAGGGGCGGCGTGGCAGGCTCGTGTGCTTTGTGGCTGATTGAGACCCTACGTGCGCGCACGGCCTGCGGCTAGAGCCCTTGCCCAGCAGCGTTTCATAACGAGTAATGTTTTTTGAATGCCGTGAGAGGGCTGCGCGCACCGGCGGCGGTGGCATCGGCGGCATGGACGGCCCTGAGGCGCCGAAGCAGAGTTGCGCAACGGCTCCGGGAGAGGGTTGCCTCCGTCGCCACATGTGATGACTGGGGACGCATGGTGGATTGCAACCCAATAATGCTGCTCACCTTGCATGCCGGTGGCACCGGCTCATGCCGGCACCGGCCGGTCCAGTGCCACCGGGATGCGAGCGTTGAGAGCAGCGAGGCGGCTAGGAAAAGCTGCAATGGCGGCAGTTGCTTCAGGGTTGACTGGGGTCAAAGCGCTGCACCCCGTGCCCAGGGGCATGCCACAGCGCGAGGTACGCTCGGCAGCACAATTCGCATCCAGATCGCATGCCGGGCCTGCTGGATTAGGTAAGCGCTCTGCAAACACCGGGGACTGCCATTGAGCTTTGACCCGGCAAATGTGGCGCCTCGGAAGGTGCGTAGGTATCCAGCGCAGCCGGCTCACCAGACAACCCCATTGTCACACCTCGCACTCTTAACAGCAATCAAACGCTGAAAAATGGCCTCCCTCACCGCCGGCAGGACCGCGTTCACCGCCTCCTCCGCGTTCAGGCCGGAGCGCAGATCTGTGGTGGTTCGCGCGATGGCCACTCAGGTGAATACCGAGTGAATTATTTTGAACAATTGTACCCATTCGTGTCGGGATGCTGCACTGTAGCACCCACATGCGCGCCAGCCCAGCTGAATCCAGTCGTCCGACAGCACGTTTGGATCGGAATATGTGATAAATGCTTGTTTCAACACTGTTGCGACGCTCAGCGGGCCTCTGAGCCATGTCTGTCTCATGCAGCGCCAGTAAGCGCCGCCGACTGCGAGCTTTCGAGTGCGGTGCTGTTTTCTGCGATCGCTGGGCGCCCACACGCCACGCCTCGGCCGTCACTCCGGGCAGCCCATTGCCTGCACAGCCCACTACCAGCCGCACGGCACTTCGCGGGCGCGGCCGCCGTCGCTCCGCGGCATGCAACCAACAGTGTGAACGACCTTGGTCGTGCCGCCGCGGCCCCGCCCCCCTCCTGTGACCGCAGCTGTCCCAGGATGAGCTGAAGAAGCAGGCGGCCTGGAAGGCGGTGGACTACGTCAAGTCCGGCATGGTGCGGCCCAGCAGGAACCGGGCGGGCCGGCCCGCGGCCAGGCCCGGCCACGCCCGGAAGCAGGGGCCCCCGGCGCGTCGCGCGCCGCCAGGGTGTGCGCGGGTGCGGTGCGGCGCGCCTTGCCTTTCAACAACCCGCCGCTCTGCCGTGCACTCCCCGCGCATCGCCCTCCTCAGGTCGTCGGCCTGGGCACGGGCTCCACGGCCGCGTTTGCCGTCGACCGCATCGGGCAGCTGCTCAAGGACGGCACCCTCAAGGACATCATCGGCGTGCCCACCTCCATCCGGACCTACGAGCAGGCGCGTAACCGCGAGAAGGGGCCGCATGCACGGCGCAGCCGCCGTTTCCAGGGGCGTGGGCTACTACAACGAAGCCTGCATGCACGCCCCATTGAGCACAGACGGGCCTGGCCCCATCAAACATGCAGTCGGTAATTGCACCAAAGGCTGTGGATTTCAACTTTGAACGACTGCCCCGCCCCCACCTCTTGTGCATGCTTCACACCCCTTCCCCTCCCAGGCCAAGAGCCTAGGCATCCCTCTGGCCACCCTGGACGAGCAGCCCAAGCTCGACGTCGCCATCGACGGCGCCGACGAGGTCGGAAGAGGCACTGGCGACCTCATAATACCACCGAATTCATGGGGCGGGCCCCACTCGTGTATACCGCCACCACCTGTAACCCCCCACAAGGCACCCACGCGGCGCCACCACCAACCTGCAGATTGCAGGCCTGCAACCCCTCCAGCGCCACCGCCAGGAACCCTCCCCCCAGCCCGCAGCAACCAGTGCTCACAACGTCCCTCCAAAGCACTCATCAACACTCGCCACGCGGCCCGCCGTGCACACAACCTCTGCCCCCCACCAAAAAGGTGGACCCCAACTTGGATGTGGTGAAGGGGCGCGGCGGCGCGCTGCTGCGCGAGAAGATGGTTGAGAAGGCCAGCGCCAAATTTGTGTGCATTGTGGACGACAGCAAGCTCGTCAAGGGGCTGGGCGGCAGCAAGCTGGCCATGCCGGTGGAGATCGTGCAGTTCTGCCACAAGTGAGGGGTGGTGGGACAGGGGCCATGGGCAGGGGGTGGGCCTGAGTTTGGGGTGTGAGGGTGGGAAAGGGTCTCTGAATTTGTCAGGGGGTCAGTGGGCGGCGGGGGTCGTCGGGTTGTGTGGGTGGTGGTGGTACCTGGTTGTCACAGCTGTGCATGCGCACAAATGCGCACACCCATGCTGACACACATGTATACACATGCACATGCACACACACAAACACACACACACACACACACGCATGCACACACCTGCACACGAACACACATGCACACACATGCACACGCACACATATACACAACACACACACGCACGCACACGCACACGCGCACATGCACCAACACGCGCGCCGCACAGGTACACCCTGAAGC